CCCTACTCAGCAAAAACAAAGCAAAGCAAAGCAGCAGCAACAACAAACCAACAAAAATATTAATAATAAAAACAGCCTTCAGTTATTCCATGCCGTGGGACCACTCTGGAGGCTGAAGATGTTGGGTGCTGTATTAATCAGGGTTGGACCCATAGAGGGAAAGGCATTGGCACCATTTTAGCACAACAAACACCGAGTGAAATTAGTTGAGGGAGGGGAGACTAACCGAATGGACCACCCCCCCGCCCCGCAATTTTTAGTCCAGCAGGTTAATTACCTCACTTGTAAATCTTGGAGGTGGGGGGGGGGTATGTATTTAGGCTAGAAACGTGATGATAAAATAATGCCACTTGAATTTAAATTCTCAGCAAAAGGGTGGGGATGCTTTGCTGCTACGGATCAGTCCATTTTTGTACTGAACATATGCTTGAAAGGATGGAGGGGAGAAAAAAGAGAAGGGAGCATTCACTTCCCACCGAATATTTTTTCTCTCTCTGGTCTATGCCTGACATTCCGAACTGGTGCGGTTGCAGAGGACTTTTGAGATCTTTAGTATCTCCTTCCAGTTTTCGTTTGAATTACCTCCTATTGTTCTTTGTGATCTCCATGCTGACTTGTAAATAGCAGAACAAAAGGCAAATAGAAATAAATTTTGCATTGTGAATATGATCGTGTGTGTGTTTAAAAAGAATAGATTTTTTTTCCTTTAAAAAAAATTAAAACTCTGTGTTAGTTTTACCAGGACTTCTGTTGTCAATTGCAGATCCTCAACTCCCTAATGAAAACAAAATGTGTTTGACTATAGGGTATATCGGCTTTAAGTACTGCCAGGCCTTACATATTATGATTTATTTGTTCTAAGCATATATTAATACGGTTACATGATGTTTTCCCCAACTGGTTTCAGCCAAAACAGTTTTGGTCATTAAGGCTCTACCTTGTATTAAGGGAGCGGTGTATTTCTCTGGAGGGGTTTCTTCATTATATATAAAAAAAGGTATCTCCTTCTCCAAGGTATTTAATGCATTAATGAGTATAATTTTTGCACAGATGTTTCTCGGTGTTTGCAGGTTTTCTGTGTATTTTTATATTACAAAGGAGCTGGCTACTGCAATAGCTCAAACTCTGACAAGCAAATAGATAATCAAGAAGACAAATGGCTTCTTTTGTGAGCTACAGCTCTTGTATTAATTTTCATTTTCTTTCTCATAGAAAGTATCGAAAATACTGTTCAGGACGAAATAACATTCCAGTTCTAAGTTACAAATATAAAAAAAATGGGGGAAAGGCCTCTGGACCATATGAAGAAAATCATCCTTTTCTTATACAACCTCTATAAGAAAATGGCCTTATATGCTAAATGTTTATGACATTTTTTCAGACTCTGCATAATGACCAAAATACTCCACGAAAAACAAAAGCCAGGGCTTGGCATGTTCGAAGTGATCCAGCCTGTTATTTCTCTCCTTGTTACGTGAAACAATTTAAGCATACCTGGCAAAGAAACTGCAGGGAGAGGCCCCACAAAACTAGAACTCCTTCCTTATATCTTTTATTCTATTGCCTGTTTAATACTTTTGAAGGGATATTGCCATGGTCCTATGATACAAAACACAACTTCGTGTGGGCACCGTGGGTTTGGGAATGTCTTTGATTCACTCTCGTGTTTTGAATGGCAAAGAAAAGTGCAAACCTTGTTCGTTTTTATTTCGGTGAGGACTGTATTTATGTTGGAGGGTGGTTTTTTTCTTTTTTGGTTAGAATTTTGCTCTGCTATGTAAGGTAAAAGCGATGTATTTTTCAGTGAGAGGGCTAGTGCTTCTGAGAGTACCCAAAATCGCTCTTAAAAAGCATATGCTGGGAGGAATTCGGGTTCTATAGACCAAAATAAAAGCTGGAAAGTATGAATAGACCAGAGAAGGGAGCAAAGAAGAATTCTATAGGCACTAAAAGTTCACAGCCATTATAGGCAGACAGAAGCCAAGAAAAATGCGAGAATTATACAGAAAATCATTAATCACTTCTTTTCTTTAAATACTTATCCTTTTCCCATTGTTATTCAACAGCAAATCTCCGCAGACCGTCTGTTGGGAAAAAAGTACCCGGAGTCCTACCAGAATCTTCAGGGGGAATAATAATAATAATAGTAGTAATAAAAAAGGCTGGATCCTAAAGCCGAAACTTTTTTTTTTAAACAAACAAACAAACAAACAAACAAACAGACTCTCCAGTTGGAAGAAGCCACCCAGGATCATGAGGACCGTCTATGGGGCGCTGGAGAGAGGATGTGGGAACCGACAAGGTAAAAAAACCCGGCCTCTTGGCCTGCATTTTTGATGGTTTTATTGCCTTCTTTCACGACTAAGCTTGAAAAAAAAAAGAGGGGGTGGAGGGCAGACACAGGCAACGTGTGAATTCTTTAAGAGATTTTCCTCCTGTTTCCTCATTTTATTTTGACCGATGTTAGAAGAGAAAGAAAGATAGCAAGGGAATGCAATGTCTACCGAGCCATCATTTGCCATTGTCTGGTGCGAGTCCGGGCTCCCTCGGTTTTGCAATGGGAATTCTTTTATCTGGGGTAGTATGGGGGGGAGGGGGAATAG